GACGAATGCCCGCTGCGGCTGCAACCGCTGGCGGATTGCAGTTGAAAGGAAAGGACGCCAAGCCGATCAGTCGTCTTCTTCCACCAGCCACAAGTTTCTTTCTTGTCCTCTTCGTTCTGTCCCTCCTCGGGTGTGTTCTTCGTCCTGCTCGCCTTGTCCCCCGTCTCGCCCACATGAGAGCTTCCGTCTCCTCCTCGTTGTCGGTGCTTGTGCCCTGGTCTTCCCTACCGTCTCCGCGTCCGCGGAGGCTGAGTGGCGCAACGGCCGGGAGGCAATGTGTTCACACCGTGACTTGCACCCGTACGCTGTGCACAGTGTTCTGCTGGCGCCGGGGGCGCACTGCCCTTTTCAAGGTCGCCCTCGAGGGCGCGAAGTTATTCGCGCTTCGCGCTTCGCGGTTCGGCTCCGATTCCTCCTCATCCTCCTCTTCTCCCCTGGGAGGCGGCGCGAGAGCGCGAAGTTATTCGCACTTCGCGCTTCGCGCAGCGCGAAGCGCGAAGTTGGGAGCCCTTACCTTTTCCACGTGCCGCACGCGGCGCCCAGTTGCGCCGGTTCCGCTCGAAGAACAACTTCAAGAAGGAGCCCCGCCGGTCTCTCGCCCCGCCCCGCGGCCCTCCGGACGGCCGTTGCTGGTCGTCTCCCGTTGGCCCCCATGGGGCCCGGCTGGCCGTGCTTGGCCCCGACATTGGTCAGGAGGGGAAAAAACACACAGACACAATAAATCGTCGATCCCCAGGAAATATGGAAAAATATGGGAATTGGGCGGGAAGACAAAAACCCAGAAAATATAGGACAAATATGGGGATTCCTTTTATTTGTGTGTATTTATTTGTGTGTCCTGGGGCCCCTTCACCGACATTGGCTCCGATGCGGAAGGCCAGGCAGTCGGGTGGAAGCTAAGCGCCTGCGTAGGATCGGCCCCTCGCCCCCGGGCGCGAGGCCCGCGGAGGCCCGCGGCGGCGGAGCGCGGGCGGCTCCGCCACGGCTCGGGGAGCCTCGGGAGGCTGGGCTCCCTGCAGGTGCCGGCTGGCTGTCCCCCCGGGTCTGTTCGGATGTCCAGGTGCCCGCACATTGGACCCCTTTTCAGAGCCCCGAATCATCAGGGGTATCTCGGGTCAGGGATAACTCGGGTTCCTTTTTCGGGAACTCAAACCCGACTTACCCCGGACCCGAGTTACCCCGGATGAATCGGGCGTCCAAGAGCCCCGAATCATCAGGGGTAATTCGGGTCAGGGGTAACTCGGGTTCCTTTTTCGGGAATCCAAACCCGAGTTACCCCGGACCCGAGTTATCCCGGATAACTCGGGCGCCCAACCTTTAGTCGGGGGTGGACAGAACCCCCACCCTGACACGTCGATTAGTGAAGTGTCCGCTTTCGGTTCGCGAGAGGACGCCGCGGCCGTCATTGTCCAGGCTTGTGCCCGCCAGGTTTGGGCCCGAAGTGGTTTGCACGAAACCTCGTTTTACCAAATGGGGTTCTGCCCATCCGCGGCGCGGCGCGGCGCGGATGGGCAATCCGCTACCTTCCGAAGAGACAAACATATTAGATAACAAACAGATTAGACAACCATGTTAGAAAACCAACATATTAGACAAACATACATATATCAGGTACCATTTTACAAAACAAACTTATTAGACAAAACTATTAGACAACACGAAGAGAAGGAGGAGGAGGAGGGGGGTCCCCCTCCTCCTCCTTCTCCGTCTTCTCCTCCTTCCCCTCCTTCTCCTCCTTCTCCTCATTATCCCCCTTCTCCTCCTTCTCTTCCTTGCTCGCCCTCCTCGTCCTCGCCCTTCCGTCGACGACGATTCCTCCTCCAACCTCCCCCTCTTGTGGTATATGACAGCGTCCCCCGCATTATGTTATTCTGCATGCTCCCCCGCTTCCCTGATGACCTCAATTCCCCTGGACATCGTTTCTGGATGGGCTGGTGGGGATACTTTTGGTAGCCAGCCGCAGGCGAGCGCGCCGACGGCGTGTAAGGTCCGAGCGGGCCGCGCGAGGTCCTAAATTACCTAGCACGAGCAGGCCTACCGCCGCAACTCAGGCCGAGACCAGGAAGGGGCCGAGGGGGGGGGGTGCAGTGGGCTGCAAACTGCCAGGGGCTGCAAACGTGCACCGTGCTGCAAACGCGCTGCTGACTGCCAGGAGCTGCTGACTGCCAGGGGCTGCAGGCTGCCGGGTGTGAATTGACCTGCAGAGAATTGGACAACCGTTGCAAACTGAGAGGCTGCCAGGGTGGCCTGAACCGTGGAGGCCTGAACCACCAAGTGAACGAATTGAGTGCGCGTGAATTGGCCAACCGAAGCTGGAGCGCAGCCAAAATGGCGCGCAGTAACACCAAGATGTGACCAGGGTGACGGCAAATCGGTGTACGGACTGCCCAATATGCCCACCTTGGTTTGGCAGGTGCGGGTGGTGGCGCCACCGAAGTCGCACACCAAAGCCCCGTTGAATGGGGTGCGGTCCGCAATCGTCCGGCCACAGATGGCGACTGAGACGAACAGGGACCAGGCGGACGATGGGGGAAGTCAACACAGTACGCATCGGGCAGAGAGTGTTACCAGGGAGTAGCAGCATTATCTGCAAGTATCACAACGACCGCTTCGAGGGCCCCCGGGCCGAATGGGAGGAGGACCGAGGCCCCGGTGGCAATCCACTTGCCAGTGATGCCGGCAGACGCTGTTAGCCCCCAAGGCGGGGGACAGCGGGAGCGGGGCAGAAGCATTGCCCGGGAGTGGCTAACGGCCATTGGTTTGCCGACCATTGGGACTGGCCTGACGGGCTCTGTTTCTCCTTGCAAGGTCTGCTGGCCACCAAGGGTGCCCATTGAGGCGTCGGGACTCGGGCATCGGGATACAAGGGTGCCTCACTCGCCTGTGTGAGAAAGGGGGTGAGCGCAACTCAGGGGAGAACTGTCGCCACGGAGTGCTGCCTTGCCGACCGATGAGACCGTCCCTCTGTTCCCTTCTGGCCTAGCGGGCCCTGTTTCTCGTTGCGAGGACAGCGGGCCACCAGGGGTGCCCATTGGGGCATCAGGACTCGGACATCGGAAGGTAAGGGTGCCTCGCTCGAGGCGTGGCGCCCCCGGCCCTGCGGCCCGCTGTGGCTCACCGCTGGTAGGCACCCCAGGAGTCGGGGAGAAGCTGGAGGTGGCACTTCCTGCAAGAACCATAGCAGCCGACGCGTACTGCATGGCGGGCTGCGTCCAGTGTGAAACGGCTGGTGGGGATACTTGTTTCGGTCGCGGCCGCGAGACGACGGTCAGGCGGCAAGAGCAAAGTCCGGCAATCTGGTGGGGATACATTTGATCTGCGGCTCAAAGGACGATTCCAGAGAGCGGGTCAATCTCGACAGGATTTGGTGGGGATACGCGAAGCGTCAGCAATTAGGTTGAGGAACCGATTCCAGGCGCGCGAGTCGCGGAGGGGGCTGAGTGGAGCTTAGGCTGAAGTTCTGCACAAGTGCTAGTAAGTAGGGCTAATGTATTACAAAAAACAGCGAAGTTACTAGTGATACTTATCAAGTAACTTAGCTCGCTGCCCAAAAGAAGACACATACTCATAAGCAGCACAAGTTTAGTTATAAAACCAAGCAAACACGTTCACCACCTACAGAATTCTTACACAACTTGCGCCACTTACACCAGAACAAAAGTAACTTCAGCCCAGCCACAACTAGCCCTCAAGTAACACAAGAAGCTGTAGCATCTAAGTGGCGACGAATTCCAAACCGGCGCCCTCGCGTGGGACATTCTAAGAACAACATCGGCCCCCGGAGCCTCTCCAAGGAGGCCCTCGGAGGCCCCCCTGTTTCGTTTCAGGCGAGATCCGGGAAATCCCCAGGCGGGGAGGAGGAGGGGGGACGAGGAGGGAAAGGAGGAGAGGGAGGAGCACGACGAGGTGAAGGAGGACGAGGCGATTTGGGGGAGGCATAGGATGAAGAGGAGGTGGAGGATGAGGAGGTGGATACTGCCAGCATGTCAGAGGGGGGCGCCACGCCCGCCCGATCCTCACCCTCCTGATGTTTATTTTCGCCATCCTCGCTATCCTGGCCCTCCTTCTCCACATCGTCACCCTCCGGCTCCACGCTCCCCTGATCCTCAGCCGCGTGACCCTCAGTCTCCTGATCCTCCCCCTCGCGAGCCTCGCCCTCCTGATCTTCACGCTCGTTCTCATCTCGATCATGTTCCTCTCGCCGAGAAGCGCACGCCACTTCTGCTATATACAAAATTTCCCGATCAACTGCAAAGCGGCCGGCTAGCACCTGGGCCTCTTGGGGCCTGGGCCGTTCAGAACCTGGCGGGATCCCGCAAAACTGTGAGCAGTTGGGCACTCCCTTACGTGCCGTGCGGAGGGCAGGGTATTCCTTTCTGAGTGGCACATTGGAACCATCCGTTTTTGGACTCCGTCGGTCGTTGGGCCGCGGATCAGAGGAGACCCAGAAGAAGGAGAAAACGACGAGCAGACGGCGGCATTGACGACGAAGGCGGACGACGACGGGCGACGACGACGACGACGAAGAAGACGATGACTGACGACGACGACGACGACGACGACGACCGCGACCACAACCACGGCGACGGCGACGGCGACGGCGACGGCGTCGGCGACGACGACGGCGGCGACGACGACGACAGCGACGGCGACGGCGACGGCGACGGCACGACGGCGACGACGACGACCGCGTGCGGCCGTGCTGGCTCGAGAGAGCGCAGTGGCGCCCCCGTCGCCACCTCCAGTGCTCTCACGGAGGCCGTGCCGCCTTCCTTCGCCGCCACCGCCGCCGCCGCCGCCGCTGCCGCCGCCGCCGCCGCCGCTGCCGCCGCCGCCGGCGCTGCCGCCGGCCGCCGCCGCCGTCGATGCCGTTGCTGATGTCTTCGTCGCCGTTCCGCGGTCGCCGCGGCCGCCGCCGCCGCCCCGCCGCCCCAGACGCCGAGCGCCGCTGCCATCGCCCGCCGCCCCGCCCCCCCCCGCCGCCCTGCCGCCGCGTGGAGGCAATGCCGGCGTCGGGGCGCTGGGGCGCGCCGACGGCGGCGGGGTCTTCCGCCTCCGCGCCAGGGCGCGGAGGGGGCGGCGCGGTGGAGGGCGGCGTCGGGGGCGGCGCGGCCACCGCGGCGGATGGCGGCTTCCTGTTGCCAGGGGCGGCCTCTGGCGGCAGCGGCGGCGCCCTCCCGCTCGCGATGGTGAAAATATATCCCAACGGGAAGCTCTCGGCCATGCTCGGTTTCTGGAAGCCCTCGCCGCGCCCAAGGGCCGATGGAAAACGACTCGGGACGAACAGCCGGTCTAGGGGAATGGGTCCAGATCTCTGGGGCAGTTTTTTTGCGAGAACACCGCGTCGTCGAGTTATGGGATGTCTTGAGGATGAAGGGTCCCCTGCAAGTCTTTAGGCGGCTTTCGGCCACCGAGAACCCTCCACGGGTTCCGGGACCGTCAAAGGGATGAGTTGGTTACGGGCATGAGTTTCAGGATTCAGGGCCCGCTTTCTTTTTGCAACCTAGTTGCCTCGATACGCCCGCTGTGATACGCAACACGTACCGTGCTCAAAATGTCCGTGTCACTCCTTTGCGTATTGGCTCAATGCAGTGGCCCATTTTCTTGGCTGACGTATCGAGTAAGGCCTGCGTGTTCAGTCTACGCGGTGAGCTCCGTATCAATACGCTTCGTGTTGCGTGTTGCGTGCCGCGGCAGCTAAGCTCTGCAAGTCCCTCGTCTTCGTGCGCAGTCTCATTCTGCTTGTTCCCGAGTATGCTGTTTCAGTGGTCTTGATCTTCTTATGGCTTCTGGTCCCGCTCTTCTATTTAGCACGTAAAGAAAACGTCCCCTCCCCATCTTCATTCCTCACTTTTCTTCATGTCGCTTTCGCTAATGGCCTCGGAGTCGGTCGGGCTCCTCTCTCACCTCCTCCTTCTCCCCCTCCCCCTCCTCCTCCTCCTCCTCCTCCTCCTCCTCCTCCTCCTCCTCCTCCTCCTCCTCCTCCTCCCTCCTCCCCTCCTGTCCGCCTCCTGTTCGGGGCACCCCCAGGCGGCGGCGGCTTCTTTTCACCCTCCAGCGCATCCTCCCCTTCCTCCCTGCTCCTCTCCTGTCCGCCTGCTGTCCCGGGCACCCCTGAGCGGCGGTGTCTCCTATCATTCTCTTGCTCATCCTCCCATTCCGCCCTCCCCCTCACCTGAGCGACGCAAGACAAACGGGTTCGACTGCGTCGACGTTCGCGCGCAAGTTGCCCGCGTAAGGTCGCGCGTAAGCGCCCTTGCTCCCAATGTGGCGACCCGCGTAAGCCGCCGCGTAAGGTTGCTATGCCATCTATCGTAAGACCCGTTGTTTCTGCTCGTCGCTTACTTGAGCCCCCGATGCAGCATGCGCTCGGGGCCACCCAAACATACTAATACGATGTGTCTGTCGCCCACACAGGGGCGACGCGCGCGTCGACTAATCTTACAGTACATGGTCCGTTGCGGGCGGATTACGTCCGTACCGCTCGGGGAACTATATACGTAGCACCCCGCAATTCCGGATACGAGTGAGGGGGCGGCGGGGTCGTCGGCAGTTTGCGAGGCTCTGAATAAGCCCGACGCCGGTGCCGACTTGTTTTAGACATTATACAACGAAACCACCGCAGTCGCCAAAACTTCACAAATTATAGCAACGAGCCCGCCGCAGGTTCTGATTGCTCAGTCACAGCAGTGTGGGCGGGTCGCGGCTGGGTCGCGAGCAGGTCGCCAGGGTGTGTCGCGGGGCGGGTCGCGGGGCGGGTCGCGGGGCGGGTCGCGGGGTGGGTCGCGGGTCGCAGGCGGGTGGCGGGCGAGGACGACGACAACACCACCAATCATGTCAATATGATTCGCCCTTTATACGCGTGCGTGTCAATCATCATGTGTTTCCCAAGCCCTGGATACCCGCTCTCTTCGTCTTCGATCGTACCCCCTTTAGGGGGTCACTGAGGGCTGCAGCCTCCAACAGAAGGGGGCCACTGAGGGCTGCAAAGGGGCCAGGAAGGGTAGCGAGAGGGCCACGGCGAGCTACATCGGGGCCACGGAGGTCAGCGAGGGTGCCACGAAAGGCGACCGCGGGGCCACGAACGGCATCGAGGGGCTCAAGTAGCGGGGCCACAACAGGCATCGAGGAGGCCACCAAGGTAGCGGTGGGACCTTCAAATCCGATTGCGGTATCGCGAGGGGTGGCGGGGGGCATCGGGACGGCCGTGAAGCAGCGAGGGGCGACTGCGGGCCGCACTGGGCGGGTCAGGCGGGCAGACCCTGACGGGCGGGTCGAGCGGGCGACTGGCGAATGCGTGAGTCCTGCATAATTCGCCTGGAGGTCTCGGACGGAAGGCGGTTTCCAAGTAGTCCATAAGGAAACTCCGAGGCGAGAGGCGACATTCCCGAATGACGCGGGCGCGGCGCTTTTTAGTACATTGCCAAGAAAGTGTCACGCGAGAGCGCGGCTCTTGAGTTAACTGCGAGGAAATTGCAAGGGAGAGCGGGGGGGGGGCAGTTCATTGTGAGGAAGTCTCATGCGGAAGGAGCCGTTGTTGTTGTAGATCGGGGGTTTGGGGCCGAATTGGAGCCTCACGATTTCCCTTGATAGAAAAGTAAACTGTGCGCCGGAGACCAGCACCAATGACTGTTCAGTAGCTCAACAATAATAACAACACCACTCATGCTAAGACTGTTCGCTCTTACCTGCACGCGTGCCAATCGAAACATATCCCAAACCCTCGATACCCGCCCTCTTGGTCTTCGATCGTAGCACCCTGGGGTCATCTCTTCCTTACCTGCCGCGTGTAAGTAGTTCAGCTCCTAGGCTGGAAAAGAGAGGACGGATGGAAGGGGGAGGGAGAAGGATGGAACACTGGATTCGCAGGAGGGGTCTCTGAGCAGAAAACACGTGGTAGAAGCAGACTTGGTGATTGGGCGGGCAGACCCTGGCGGGCGGGTCGGAAGGCGGGCTGGGGCCCGGGCTGCCAGGTCGAGCAGGCGGGTTGCTGAAGCGTGAGTGCTGTATGACTCGCGAGGAGGTCTCGAGCGACAGCGCGATTCCCAAGTGAAGCGTGAGAGAACAAAACCAGGCATGAGCTCGATTCCTGAGCGTCGAGAACGCGGCGCTTGAATAAGTTACGGGGAAGTCGCACGCGAGAGCGCGATGTTCCATACATTGTGAGGAAGTCCCGCGCCTGAGCGCGATTTTGAAATACATAGTGAGGAAGTATCCGTCGGGAACCGTTGTTGTTGTAAGTCGGGGGCCAGGGGGCCAGTTTGACCCTCAAGACTTTCCCTGATAAAAAACAGGGTGCGAGCCCCAGGAGGGGCACTTCAAGTGGAAACGTACAATGTGGGTCGAAGGGGGGCCATCAACAAATCTTATTCCTGTGAAGTAAGAGTTCAGTTCCAACAACATCAACAACCACAGCAGCAACGACAACAACAACAACAGCAAACACAACAGCAACATCAACACCAAGAGCAACACCAACAGCAGCATCAACAACAACAACGACGACAACGACAACGACAACGACAATGACAGCACCAGCAACAATATTCACCGCGGAGCCCCATTTCAGCCACGCGCCCAAGGATCGTGAGTGACCCTTCGGCCCCCTCGTTCTTATATAAGAGCTGCGGGATGTTGCTCTGCAGCTTCGGGTCGGACGTGCGTCTCCGAGGAGGACACCGTACTACGGTCGGGGCCCTGAAGAAGGAACCCTTTTCGTTGGGGAGGGGCTCGGTGTTCCTTAAGTGTTTCGCAGCTTGCCTTGGTTTCTTCCTTGGGTTTTCGCAGGGACATCGAAGTTCAACTCATGGAGAATAGGGGCCTCGTTCCTTATGTAGGGTTCCTTAGGTCAACGCCCCGACTGTACTAGTATGTCCCTCTGCGCCCCATGCGCGGCTCGGGCTGACACTCCGCCTCGGGCTCGGGTTCGGGTCCGGGCGAGGAGACCCGGGTCGGCCCCACGCTTGGGTTCGGGCTCGGGCTCGGACTCGGACGCCCCCGAGATCCGACGTCGCGAAGACAGGACAGCATCGCGAAAAGTCGCGACGAAGCCCCGGGCCCCACCTTTCTGCGCCATTTTTCTTGAACGGGATCGGTCTCTGAGGCCCCCGGGGCCCGCACTTCTTCGAAGACGCCCGGCGCGGAAAAATTGCCACGCCAGGGGTCTCAGAGTCAGGCTTGTGGGCTCGGTCCCAGGCCCAGGCTCCAGCACGGGCTGGGCTCGAGCGCGAGCTCCTGGTGGGCCAATTCTCCACCACCGCTACCGTACCGTAGGTCGGACGGGGGCGAAGAGAGGATGGGGAGGTCCCCCTCCTCCTCCTCCTCCTTCTCCTCCTTCTCCTCCTCGTCCTCCTCCTCCTCCTTCTCCTCCTCCTCCTCCTCCTCCTCCTCCTCCTCCTCCTCCTCCTCCTCCTCCTCCTCCCCCTCCTCCTCCCTCTCCTACCTATCGTGGTGGTGGAAAATCGTCCTATCAGCTCGGACCGAGCGTGCGCGCCCACTCCCCCGCAGGCGCTGCGCCTGGCGGCGCCGCGGCCGCTCGCGCCCGCGGCGCGGCCGCCAGGGCGCCGAGCGCAGAGACGCCCGGCGAGGGCCCCCGGGCGGCCGGCGCGGAGCCGCGAACATGCACGAACGAAGTGGGCACGGGAAGAGTGGGTACAGTGCCCAACAGGGGATCCTGTTCGTTTTGAACAGGACTCGCTGTCCACGCCGCCGCGGCTTGTGTCCATTCGAGACAGAGGACCGCCTGCCCAACAGCGGCCGCTGTTGGTTTGGTACAGCATTTGTTGTTGGGCATTGTACCCATTCTTTCCGTGCCCATTTCGGGCGTCCAAACTCTAGGCCTCGCAGATGGCGTCGGAGTAGACGGGGTCGGAGGATCGCGCCGCATGGCCGATGCATCGGCGATGCGGCTCGGTGCGGGGCCCGACTGTCTCCATGCCGACGTCGCCGATGCACCGCCGACGTCGACGATGCGTCGCCGGTGCATCGCCGATGCATCGCCGGTGCATCGCCGGTGCGTCGCCGATGTATCGGCGATGCGGCGAGTTCCTCCGACCCCACCTGCCTCGACCCCAGCGGGGAGGCCTCCCAGGGGAGGGGTGGAGGGAGGAGGAGGGAGGAGCGAGGAGCCCAGACCTGTTCGCGCTGTGACAAAAACAAAAAAACACGACGGGCGCCCAGATGGTCTGGTACCGGAAATTTTCGGTAGCGATTTCGACGCACCCCGAATTTCGGTAGCGACCGGATCTTCGTTTGAGCACGTTGAAATAGCGGATTTCAGAACGCTCTGATACCGGTATTGGGCGCAACATTTCGGTATTTCGGTAGCGACCGATCTCTGCGGAGCGTTACTGGAAATTTTCGGTAGCGGACCATCAAGGCGGTCTTTCACCATTTTCGGCCGCCGGGGGCCCTCACCGGGCTACGGGGCCGCCAGGAAACGACTCAGAATGACAAGCCAGTCCCCGGGAGGGGGTCCAGAGCTCAGGGGCTCGACGTTGTCACAAAAAATGAAAAATCACGATGTCGGGGGTCTGGGAGGGAGGAGCATCCTCTAAGATCCTAGCGTCGCAATTATTTCGAGCCGGGCGTTTTTCTAACAATTTCGGGCCCATGGGACCCTCACTGATCGATCCAACTCGAAAGGTGGTGCAGACAGTCTGTGTCCGGGACTCAGGCCGTGATTTGTCGCGACGTTGCAATGTGTTCGAGACGTCGGATCTCAGGCTCAGCGGAGGAAGAGGTACCAGTATCGCTACCCTTCCCTCGCGTTCCCCTTTCTGGGCCTCGTGGGAGGCCCTCGTCGCCACAGCTGGATTCGCTTCGAGATTCTGGTCAGAACGCACCCCAGGAGAGGTTCGGGGAGTAGCGGCAGTTATCGTTGCCTCTTCGTTTCCCCAGGGGAGGGAGGTGGACGGAGCGGGCGGGGAGGGTGAGTCGGAGTCGGAGTCTGCATGTTTGGCAACAGGGGGTCCTCTCTTCATCGCGGCATAGGGCTCGGCTCGCCTTGATATCGCGCTGCTGGCTGCTGGCGGAGGAGAAGGACGAAATGGAGGACTAGGAGGGAAACGAGGACGAGAAGGGGGAGGATGAGGAAAAGGAGAAGGATATCAGTGATATCAGGGAGGGAGGGGGCGGAGGGGGGGAGTCTCCTGCCTCTCTCCTACTCCTGCTCCCCGTCCTTCCCCTCCCTTTCCCTAGCGCCGTTGCCACATGGCGCGGGTTGGCGACTACCCCAAGGGGTATTCCGGATAGCTCAACGGAGAGTCCCCCCCCCTTTTTCTTCTCCCTCCTTTCTCAAGTAACTTTGCTTGATCAGCAAATGGTGCCACAGATCGCCAGAGCAGTATCTCCTGCCCGCACGGCAGGATTGCACGGTTCCCTGGTGGGTCCTCAGGGCGTTGCAGCAAGTAGCTGTTGTTATAGATCGGTACGACGGCACCAGGGCCGGCCCAGGTTTCTCACGCGTGAACGATCTGATTCAATGCCCCTAGATCTCGATTCGATTCGCGTCGATTCATGTAATTTTCTGTCTTCGTCTCTTCAGCCCTTCCTCTCGCAACCACGATGACGACGACGACTCTCTGCACCTGAATGATGGCGGACCTCCTCCACTCGGGCCGTGCAGGTGGTGGGGCGAGTCAGTCGGTGCACCATGAACCTCTGTTTCGTCGTGTACCAGGCCTGCCGCTCCTCAAACAGCCCCCCCTCCCCCTCAGTCCTCACCGTCCTTGTCCTGTTTTTCCTCCCCCCCCCCCTCCTCCTCCATCCTCCATCCTTTCTCCCCCTCTTTCATCTTCCTCCTTTTCCTCCCCCTCCCCTTTTCTCCTCCCCCCCCATTCTCCTCCCTCCCCCTCCTCAGCCCTTTGCATAGGCCCCGCGTTGCACAGGGAATTGTTCAAATTGGGGAGGTCCCCGTCAATCGTTGCTGAGTTCGGCAGTGGGCTTCTATCGCTTTGTTCTCGCACACTTTATGGACTGTACAATGTAGCTGTTCCTTTGCTCGTGACTCGATCTCAGATGTTGAATATTGTGCTGTGCAATCCTCCGCGTATGTCCGAGCCGTGGAATGAAGAGGAGATCAGCCGTTCCTTGAGCTTGTTGAGGCTATTCCACCGTGAAGACGCTGCTCCATCAGATATTTTCATTCGGTTGGGAGAGGGGCAGGCGCACGAACGAGAGCGCATGATGCGCAAGGCTTCTTCGTCGTCGCTCCATCAGAGTCAGAAGTATCTGCGATGTTCGAGAAGCCCCGTCCGATCTCCCAGGGCGACGTGGCGATGGAGCTTGCGGGACAGTGCTCCGCGCAGGAGGCTCAGAGGCTGCGCCAGGCTCATCAACGGCATATCGCAGAGGGCCGAGCGGTACCAGATTTGAACAAGCCGGGCGCTTCTCATCCCCGCTCGTGGTTGGCTTTGGTCGGAGCACTCCAGCAGCAGGGCGATAACGTCGGAGCTGCGCGCGCGGCCAGGGTGAAAACATACATGGGCAATCTTCGGAACGACCTCTCGGTGACAAACGATGTGTTCGCGAGCCAGATGAAGTGCTGCAGGGTGGCCTACACACAACAGGTCGGTAATGCACGTACGTCTGGAGGCCAGCGACTCGTATATCCAGAAGGAGGTGATTGATGCTCTCATCCAGCCTGGAGCAGTGAGCATGACAGAAGCACGCCTCATGAGCCACCAGGAGCTTCTGCTGCAGCTTCCCCTGGATGGGCTCGAGGACCCCTGAGAACACTCAGGAGAGCCAACTCCGTAAGTCCCAGGAGGGACAGACTGAGCGAGGCCCGCCCCAGCATTCAGCTGCGCCCTCCACATTTATAGAGCTGTCAAGTTCTACATCCTCCTCCTTCCCCTCCTCCTCCTCCTCCTTCTCCGACGGGGGGGCGCCCTTCGTCCCCCTTCCGACCTCGTCGTCTGACCCGTCCCGTCGCTGACGCCTCACCTTCTCCTCTTCCTCGGACGGTGCCATGTTATGATTGATCCAGGGCTCACACGGCCACGCTTCCAGGGCAAGTCCCATGGGAAAAAGCCAAGACAGCCGTAAAGTGTTGTTGTTGTTGTTGTTGTTGTTGTTGTTGTTGGTGTTGTTGTTGTTGTTGTTGTTGAACATTATTAATTCTAAAGAATAATTATTGTTGGGACCCCTGGTGCACGGCCCCCCTGCGCCGCCTAGGCCGCAGCTACATTTTCATCATTTTCGTGAGGAAGCCTCAGGTAATTCGATGTGATCAAGATCCGGTTGTTTTGTTCCCCCCCGCTTTCCCTTGCAAAAAACACTATAAAATGACATTTCTTGTTCTAATATAATCAAATTTCAAGAATCCCTTGCAAAAAATAAGGTAAAGTGGACATTCGCGCGCGCAAGACGAAATCCTTCCAAAAGCTTAGTGTTCGGAGCGATTTTAACATAAAAACATCAAAAAACCAATGGTTTTTCAACAAAAAAATGTCAAAATCTCATCCCGCGCGCTCTTGCGGATTCGTAGGAAACCCAACACTTTTTAAACATTTCTGTCAAACGGGCTTTTGCGAGCAACTTTTTCGAACTTCTGCGACAACGGTTGCGCACCTGCCAGGGCCATCATCCCTGTCAAATAATACCATGCGGGACACATTCGTTTTTTCTTCGCGCGCGCCATCCCACATCCCTCAGGAATTTGCCCTAAAGATGTGACCAACTATCTTGTGAGTACGTATCGTGTGTATCATGTGTATCATGTACCATATGCATCATATGCAACAGATGTTCTGTGGAAGGCTTAACAACTTCTGTGGGTTAACAAGGCTTAACAACTTCTGTGGGTGTACGAACGTAGGCTTAACAACTTCTGTGGGTGTGTACTCCACGCCAGTGTAGTAGCCACGGTCGTCCGCAGGCCACGAAGTGAAGTGTCCGAACGTCATAGGGCGGGAAGCTGGGTGTGGGTGGTGGCGAAGAGTCGTGTGGATATTTGGTAGAGCTTGCACTGCCCCCCCACAAAGTGGGGGTATTGGCTGGCGTCGCATGAAAACCCTGGCACTGGTGAGAACACTGAGCGTTCGGGTAAAGTGATTGTTGTTGTTGTTGTTGTTGTTGAACATTATTACTTCTAAAGAATAATTATTGTTGGGCCCCTGGTGCACGACCCCCCCGCCGCGCCTAGGCCGCAGCCTCATTTTCATCATTTTCGTGAGGAAGTCTCAGGCAAAACGGGGGAGTCCGGATCCGGTTGTGTTGTTACGATCGGTTTTCCCTTGCAAAAAATAAGCTAAAGTGGACATTTCTTGTTCTAACATAACCAAACTTCAAGAATCCCTTGCAAAAAATAAGGTAAAGTGGACATTCGCGCGCGCAAGACGAAATCCTTCCAAAACCTTAGTTTTCGTAGCGATTTTAACATAAAAACATAAAAAAACCAATGGTTTTTCAAAATTGTCAAAATTTCATCCCGCGCGCTCTTGCGGATTCGTAGGAAACCCAACACTTTTTAAACATTTCTGTCAAACGGGCTTTTGCGAGCAACTTTTTCGAACTTCTGCAACAACGGTTGCGCACCTGCCAGGGCCATCATCCCTGTCAAATAATACCATGCGGGACACATTCGTTTTTTCTTCGCGCGCGCACGCCGTCGTCGTCGGCCGCGGGGCCCTGAATAGTAGCCACGGTCGTCCGCATGCCACGAAGTGAAGTGTCCGAACGTCATAGGGCGGGAAGCTGGGTGTGGGTGGTGGCGAAGAGTCGTTTGGAAATTTGGTAGAGCTTGAACCGGCCCCCCCACAAAGTGGGGGTATTGCCCGCCTCCTATGAAAACCCTGGCACTGGTGAGAACGGAGTGTCCCCACGTGCTAGTAATTGTTGTTGTTGTTGTTGTTGAACATTATTTATTCTAAAGAATAATTATTGTTGGGCCCCCTGGTGCGCGCCCCCCCTGCGCCGCCTAGGCCGCAGCTACATTTTCATCATTTTCGTGAGGAAGCCTCAGAAAAGAGGGTGTGTACAGGATCCGGTTGTTTTGTTGTAATCCGCTTTCCCTTGCAAAAAACATAGAAAATGACATTTCTTGTTCTAATATAATCAAATTTCAAGAATCCCTTGCAAAAAATAAGGTAAAGTGGACATTCGCGCGCGCAAGACGAAATCCTTCCAAAACCTTAGTGTTCGCAGCGATTTTAACATAAAACATCAAAAAACCAATGGTTTTTCAACAAAAAAATGTCAAAATCTCATCCCGCGCGCTCTTGCGGATTCGTAGGAAACCCAACACTTTTTAAACATTTCTGTCAAACGGGCTTTTGCGAGCAACTTTTTCGAACTTCTGCGACAACGGTTGCGCACCTGCCAGGGCCATCATCCCTGTCAAATAATACCATGCGGGACACATTCGTTTTTTCTTCGCGCGCGCACGCCGTCGTCGTCGGCCGCGGGGCCCTGAATAGTAGCCACGGTCGTCCGCATGCCACGAAGTGAAGTGTCCGAACGTCATAGGGCGGGAAGCTGGGTGTGGGTGGTGGCGAAGAGTCGTTTGGAAATTTGGTAGAGCTTGAACCGGCCCCCCCACAAAGTGGGGGTATTGCCCGCCTCCTATGAAAACCCAGGCACTGGTGAGAACGGAGTGTCCCCACGTGCTAGTAATTGTTGTTGTTGTTGTTGCTGTTGGTCCTGGTCCTGCGGCGTCGTTTCAAACTTGGAGGGGCACTGTCCCCTGCTTGTTTGTGTGTTCCCTGTTTTCCCCACTGCCTGGGGAAGAGTTCGCGGCTGCCAGAATAGTGCTGAGGGGGCGGTGCGGTTTGGGCCCTGGGATTTCTCCGAGCTGTGCTTGCCGAGGCTGCGCGAGCCCCCTCCCGCGTGCGAGCGCACCGCTAAATATAGCACATGCCCTGGCATTTGGGAAGTGTTGCTACTCCTTGTCTGGCGTGCCAGCGATCTAACTCGTGTGCCACCAGAGTTCCGCCGCCGTCCCCTCCCCATCGGTTGCTCGCTCGGCACGTCAAAAGAGAATGGAAGGAGGGCAGGAGACACTGGAGGAGTCACTCGAAGCTTCAATTTTGAACGGGGACAGAAAAAGGAGCAATGAGCACGGCCGAGCCATCCAGTTCTCTACCTCCCTGTGCTCCTCCAGCCGTTTCTCTCGGGGCAGGGGGCGCCGCGCCGACCCCCCGAGCATTCTCGGGAAAGCCTCGGGAATGAGGGGTGCTGGCAGGCGCCCTGTCGCGCGCGTGGGGTGGCAGTGGCAGCAATCAGCCTGCGTGTGTGCTGCCGGTGGCGCCTGCGTGCCTCTGTCATGCGCGTGCCTCTGCCGCGGGCGGGGCCGCGCGAAAAAAGGTGGCAAAACATTGGGAAGCCACGGGCTCCCCAGGGAGACGCACGCTGGGAAGGCGACCGAGTTTTGCGCCGCTTGCGGGGCTGGCGCGCAGGCTGCACGAATGGCGTCTTGGACGCGGCCCTGGGCCCGTGATGTGTGACGAGGTAAGTTAGGGTTTAGGGCTTAGGGTTAAGGGTTCAGGTATGAGGTATTACACCTTAGGCGATGCTTAAGAAAACTTGAAATTGTTGTCGCTTCGCGAATCCCCACCAGCCCATCCAGAAACGATGCCCAGAGGAATTGCCTCGATCAGAGAAGTAGGCAGCACACAGAGGAAGCCATTATGAGACATCTTGGGATATCTTGAGCCATCTTGGAGGTCATTTTGGGCTCTC